ACCCCATTTGACTAATAGTAAATTACAAACACTTGACAAAACAAAAACTATGGTTTTGCTCCTCTTTGTCGGCCATGACAGAAATGAAACAAGACGCAGTTCATCCTTTTCCTACCTAGTTGTATTCATACAGTACAACTGCTTTGAATCCTAGCATATGCAAGCAATGCCACTTTTTCACTGTTGAACTTTTCCCATATTTTGCCATTGAATGCCTGCAAATTGGTTTAATAACATTAACATGAAAAAAAATCTTTGTAAATATGAAAAAGCACTGCAACATCTAAATCCCATATCAAACCTTATGGAATGGAATAATCTGTTGTGGATCAATCATGTTGATGAATGCATAGCCCACGTTGCATTTATTCTGTTGACAATATTCACAAGTCTCAAGTTAGAAAAAGAAATATATGCCCTTTCATAATAAGGTCATAGTAAGTGTTAGAAATGAGGATATCTTCAACCTCCAATCACCCCAGCCTAAGGCACTTCAGGGAGACAACCTCATCAAAAAATTAATTTACTTGCCTTGAAGTCAATTGGCAAATAAATGAAATCATAGGTTCCTTGACAGTGCTCATCTATTGCAGCCAGAAGCACCTTTGAGGTATACCTGCATAAAAAGGCTATCAGATTGATAAAGAAATAGGTAAGGAAAAAGGGGAAAGCAGAAGCAAAAGTATCCATAACAGAATGGTATCATTTTTTTTTTCAGCCTTTTTTTTTTTGGCCTCAAACAACAGGTATGGTATCACATATGACGTAATTATCAATCATTCACCACCAACACTGGATTTACTTTAACAAGATTATAGACCATGGTCATTAAAATGACTCACACAATACTGTAAAAAATATAAACAAAACTAAGGGAATTTCAATTGTAATTTCAAAGTCAATTGCTATTAGTCCTAGTCACAACATCTACAAGTTCTAGATCCTTTAGGGCTTGTTTGGTTGGTGGGGCTGGCTATTCCTAGGTGAAACTATGAAAACAAGCTAAAAATTAAGAAATTTCCATAGGAAGTTAGGAATGTATAACCAGACATGACCTTAGTGAAGGAAAAAATGTTCCATCATATGACGGTTTCAACATGAAGAAAAATATTAAAATCAAATGACAAATGTATAACTAGAAAGATGGAAGATGAAGTAAATAAAGAACAAAATAGCTGGTGTAACAGGAAAATCATTCACATACTTGTTTGGAATGTTCTTTATCATCAGTGTTGTTCTGCTGTCTTCCCCACATATGATGCAGTCAATGTCAAGCTCATATTGTTTCTTATCAGCACTATTAAAATTCAATTCATTTCTATGGTGCCAGAAATTTCTCACACGCACATTGGGAGACTCAAAAGAACCTGGCATGGATATCACAGCGTTTCTTCCAGGGAAAAGGTGATACATTTGCTGAGGAGAGTATACCACACCATTGTTTCCACTAGCATGTGAGAAAATGTTGTGAGAAGCAATTTCAACAGGGTGTGATGGAGAACTACCAGGAAATCCAACATTCCCTAGAGATCCTAAGGGAAAACTGGAGGTGTCAGGAGATTTCCCAGCATAGGCATATCACCTGCCCATAATGGTGAATTAACTGGTGGTGCCGACCCAGTGTGGTGATGTACGGGTGATGCTGCATTCAGCATGACAGAAGGTACCCTAGGAAATGCAGGCATATGTTGAACACCATTGACAAAAGACGGCGAATTGGGCCAAATCCTGGCACCTGAAGGGTGCTGCTAATGTGAGTTGGAGTTGTTCCGTGCATAATGATTTCCATGAAGAAAACAGCTTCCATTACCAGATGATCCAAAAACTAGAGAGAATGAATCAGCTAATAAGTCAACTGAACACCTTAAAAGAATACTAGCAATTGAGTTCTCTTAAATATTATAGCTACTTTCTCTATCTCAGTTGCCACAAGTGACGCAATTATGTGAAAATTATCAATGGTAAAATCTAACCAAGATAACTTACCCCCTCCATTAGGTTCTATTAGGTGCCCATTTGTGCTCACTCCATGAATGCTCCTATTGTCAAGTCCATCAGTCATTTGGGAAACAAAACTGCTGACCATGTCTGGAATGGTGCTTGAGGAGTTAGATGGAAGGCTTTTGGCTAAATTATCATGATACCCGGGAAAGGAATGGGGATGGAAACTTGTAATGCACTGGTTCTGGAACTTCATTACGTCCAGAGTGTAGTTTGGCTCCCGAAGGTTAAATTGGTTGTTAACAGATGCCACTCTTGGCTGATCAAAAAAAAAAAAAAACAGATGCCACTCTTGCAGGAGAGGGCAAGTTGATCGGAACACTAGAACTTTGACTAGGTCCAATAAATGTATTCACAGGTGACCATATAACATTATGTAATATCGGGCTGGATCCATTATCCATGTA